GCCCAGCCAATATCATCTACTTTTATGGAAGAATTTCTCTTGGGGATCCTTAATTTTATTTTTATTTTATTATTATTATTATTATTGAGACGGAGTTTCTCTCTTTTTGCCCAGGCTGCAGTGCAGTGGCACAATCTCAGCTCACTGCAACCTCCGCTTCCCAGGTTCAAGTGATTCTCCTGCCTCATCCTCCTGAGTAACTGAGATTACAGGAATCTGCCACCACACCTGGCTAATTTTTGTATTTTTAGTAGAGATTGGGTTTCACCATGTTGGCCAGGCTGTTCTCAAACTCCTGACCTCAGGTGATCCACCTGCCTCGGCCTCCCTAAGTGCTGAGATTACAGGCGTGAGCCACCACACCCGGCCGGGTATCCTTAATTTGAAATCACATGTGGGTTGACAAGTCCAAAAGTCTAAGAGAGCTCTCATTAGCTGTGAAACATGTACCCAAGGTTCAAGATCCTGACATTTTACTACGGTGAGAATAGTAAGAAGAAACTGGTGTAGTCTCTTTCAACAGGGCTCAGGGGCAGTTGTTCTCTGCTGTCTTTTACAAAAGAGCTAGTCTTGGCTGGGCGCAGTGACTCACGCCTGTAATCCCAGCACTTTGGGAGGCTGAGGCAGGCGGATGACCTGAGGTCAGGAGTTTGAGACCAGCCTGGCCAACATGGTGAAACCCCATGTCTGCTAAAAATACAAAAATTAGCTGGGTGTGGTGACGCATGCCTGTAAACCCCAGCTACTTGGAAGGCTGAGGCAGGAGAATTGCTTGAACCCATGAGGTAGAGGTTGCAGTGTGCTGAGATTGTGCCACTGCACTCCAGCCTGGGCGACACAGCGCGACTGTCTCAAAAAAAAAAAAAAAAAAAAAAAGAGCCAGTTTCCAGATTCCAGGTCACAGAAGGTGGGATCATCAGTAGGCAGGTCACAGAAAGCCTCCTTCACCTGGCAGAATATACTTTGGCATAATAAATCAAGGCCTTGCAGGATTGAGTCACATCAGAGCCAACAGTGCATTGGATAAATGAAGTTCTATTATGAAAGGCACAAGTCGTTCAGTATTTATTTCATGAAGGGCCACTTTGTGTGTTCCACTGGGGGTTGATGTTCTTGCCATAAAGGTCGGTGGTAATTCTTTTGGCCAAGATAATCCAGTTGACTCAGTTAATTTAGCTCATTTTAGTTTTGTGATGCCATTTCTCCATTCAGCCTTTCCAGAAGACTGAGAGTGATAAGGGCAATGATAGTGCCGTTAGGTCTGTAAACTCTTATTTGGTGGATGACCTGTCAAATAAAGCGAATCGCCCTAGCACTAGAGACCTCCTCAGCAGGTAGGTGGGATTTCATCTTTCTGGAGCCTGAGCGTCTCCAAAGAAGAGCTGGCTGATGGAGCTTCCCTGACCGGTGACCTCCACCCTCTTCTCTCCAGAGCTCTTTGCCCCAGCGGTATCTGCAGGAATGGAGGGAGTTGGCCAAAGCAGAGAGATTTTTACTCAGCCCCCATCCAGGTGAGCACACAACAGCCTTTTGTGCTTGGGGTGATGCGTGCATTTCTGTCTCTACATGCATGCCTGGAAGTGTGCAGATGAGTGTGTGAGAGAGGGTATATGGCCACGCATCCTTGCATAGACAAGAACATGGGTGCACTTGTGCATGTGCACAGCCCCTCCCCACCCCAGGCGTGCTGTGGTGCTGCCCTGCCCCTGGCCCAGAGCTTGCCTCTGTTGGCTTTGAGACCCTGGCTTTGCACTGTGGCTTTGCTTTGCCTTAGAGACCAGCTGCTCCCCTGCTGTGGTCTCTCATAGTGGAGACTGATCCCTGGCCACCCATTCAGCTGCCTGAGAGCCCTGGGACCAGTGTTCATCCCCTGCCTCCCAAAACAGAGGTGTGTAGAAGTTCCCTGCCTGGAGTCCCAGCCCTGCCAGGATGGAGAAAATGGGCACCAGTTACTGTGACCCATTCCGGCTCCATATGGATTTGGTTTGACAACAAAGCTCCCTCTGTGTGTTCCCAAGCCCCTTACATAACCGGGGGCTGTGGGCAGAGGAGGAAAGGAGGAGGAGGTGGAGATGGGAACCAGGAGACACCAGGATGGGATGGCTGGAAAGGACACAGGGACCAGGAGGAGAGGGCAGGAGATGAGGGCCAGAGAGGAGGAGAGAGTGGGAGCAGGAGGGGAAAGTGCTGGTCTTGACCTCCCAGTTCTACCTCCTGCTTCCTGGGGAGGGGAGGGTGGAGTCCAGCCACCGACCTCTGCTTGTGGACGCTTTGCCTTCTTTTCTTTGGACCTTTCTCACCAGTCCTGGAAGGGCTGAGGAGGGGGCTGTGGGACTGTCTGGGGTGAGGTGAGGTCAGGTGTTGGGCTGGACTTGGGAGGCTGGTCCTTGGCCCCAGCCTGTAACTGAATAAATGCCATTAAAAGAGGAATCAGTTCCTGGCTTCCGTTGCCTCCAGCCAGGTGCCAGCCCTGGTTCCAGAACCCCTCTGACCACTCCTCTTGCGTGCTCAAGAGGGCAGAATCACTGCAACTTGTCCGTGTGCCCTGCCAGGCTGGTCCGGGGCCCCCTCCCAGCCCACTCATCCAGGGATGCAGCTCTGGCCTTGGCCCACCCCCATCAGAGGGCCTGTGGCCCTGATCACCGCACTCCCCACTCCGTGATGAGACGTTCTCTCCTGAGCATCACTGACCCTGCAGCTGTCCAAACAGAGCAAGAAGCGAATGTTCTCTTTGGGGCACAGCTAGACTGGCAGCCCTGCAGGGCCAGGTGAGCTGCCAGTCCTGGGTGTGTTCTCGGGGGTGGGGGTAGGAGGATCCTGGGCCACGATCCCTTCAACTTCTCCTGGGCATGAGGAAACAGCCACGCAGGGGTGGCCAGGAGGACTGGGGGGACGTCTGAGCTCTCCTGGCTTCGACTGGGGCCGGGACCCTGGGGGATGTGACCCTGGGGGATGTGACCCTGGGGGATGTGACCCTGGGGGATGGGACCCTGGGGGATGGGACCCTGGGGGATGTGACCCTGGGGGATGGGACCCTGGGGGGCGTGCTCTTCTGGGTGTTCCCAGCCTCTGTGTCTGGTCTGTGCCTCAGTGTCGGGGTTTTCTGGCACCAGGCTTCCTTGGGAAGAGCCTCTGGTTGTGCACCAGCCCTTAGGGTGGGTCTTATCCCAGGCTGCAGGGGACTGAGGGCCGAGCTCTTCCACCTTGAGAACAAGGATGGTTCCTCAGGGCTGGGAGGAGGAGGAGGCGCTGGCTAGGACCTTAGATTACCCAGGGCTGGGTTTGGGGCCTCACAGAAGATGGAGAAGCCAGGGTTCAGGCACTTGGCATGACCCCTGGCACTGCCTTCAGTTGATTTAGTGTCTCTGCCCTGGGGTATTCCATGGGACCCTGGGCTGGCTGCTGTGTGCAGAAGTGGGTATGGGCCATAGCCCAGACCTGCTGAACAAGTTGTAGGCTCTGGAATCCTCCGTCCCCAGGCAGTGACCAGGCCCTGACAGGCCTGAGTCTGTCCCTCCCATCACTCCCCTAGATATGGGTGCAGATGACCGTGAAATTGCTGAAGCCTCAGGGCTTGAGCCCAGAAAATGTGAGCAGGCTGGCGGGGCCGCTGGAGGAAGGCCTTGCAGGTTCCTGGATTTGGGTGCTGGTTGGGCTGGGAGGACAGTCCCTGTCACTGGGACTAAGCACAGGTGCGGAGAGGCTGAGACGGGCCCAGAGGACAGTGAGTGTGTGTTGTGTGGGTGCTGGGCCAGGTGCCCTCCATGGGGCAGCAGGCTCTGCAGTACCCTTGGCCAAACGGCCACAGGCTGCCCCAGGACACTCCCCAGGCCCACTGGGGACACACCTGTGGGGCTCATAGTTGTGGCTGGGTCTCCTCTCAGGAGCCAGAATCTTTCTGGGAGCTGAGCCTGGCTGGGCAGAGGGCGAGGAGCCCAGGGTTCCCCTTTCCCTGACTTTGGAGGAAAGAGGTCCCTGAGGGCTGGCACAGCCACTCCCTGCCCCTTAGAGGCTTTGGGCTGCCTGGTGATAGCTCCAGGGACCTGCAAGCTGACAGACAAAGTCTCCAGGAGCCAGAGCTGGGGTGGGAGGCATCCAGTGGGCCTGAGGGAGGTAGAGCAGCAGCAGCAGCTGAGCCCAGCCTCCGCCAGCCCTGAGGAATGGAGGAAGAGAGTGCCCCGGCTTAGGGGGCCCTCAAGCCCTGGAAGCTGTATGTGGTTATGGGGGGCGGGGGCAGAGAGGAGGAGGTCTGAGGGCTGGGTGTGTGTGTAGGGGGGTGGTGAGTGTGTGTGTGTGTGTGTGTGTGTGTGTGTGACCAGGCTAGCAGGTGCCTGAGTATGGACTAGTGTGTTTGTGCTGGAGAAGCCTGTGTAGGTTACTGACATGGGAGGGCCTGTGTGAGCAGACGGGACCGGAGAGCTGCTGGAAGGGGCTGTCTGTGCCATCAGGCTCTGAGTGTGGATGCAGCTCTGCCTGTTCAGGCAGATTCACTGGAGGGGCTACTGCGCAGAGCCTGGGCCCTGGACACCTAGAAAGGCCCCTCCTCCCCTCGTCTTCCCTCCCTCAGGGCCCACCTTTACTCTGAGGGGTTGGACTCCCTGCTGGGGGCAAGCTGGAGAGGGAATCTCTTGGCGCCTTCTCTGTTTCCAGGGACAGGCTGCTGCAGGTTGGAGGGCTTGCTTTTCCTGCCCACCCTCGTCTTCACCAAGTCCTCATCTGGGGGCCCTGCCCCACTCTCCCTCCCAGTGCAGGGCCCTCCCCTCTGGCGAGCCTGCCTCGCTACTCCCCAGCTCAACCCCTTTAACCCTGCTGGCTCCTAATGGGACTCATGGGACTTCAGGTGTGGACCCTCAGACCCTCAGCTGCATAGTTCCAGAAACTTGTTCATCGAGCGCCAGGCTGACCGTGGTGTCCATCTCAGTGCCCAGCAGATGTTCTGGTGGGGGGAGGTGGGAGTACAAGGTCTGCCGAGTGAGGGTTCCTTCCAGGAGGAGGCAGAGGAAAGGGGTTTCTGAGCCCAGATCTCCGATGCTCCCAAGGCACTCAAAACCAGAGCTGTGAGCCTGAATTCAGAGGCTGTGCTGTGGGGCAGGGCTGGAATTTGTGGCACCTGTGTGGGGACCGCAGGGCTGAACGTTACCTTTACTGTCCCTGCTCGGGGATTTTGGGGTACTGGGTTTGGATAAAGTGTGTCACCTGCATAGGGAGCACTGTTCTGGAAGTGGACTCTGCTCAGGTGTGGGGGGCCTGCCTGTGGGGCGCACCATGGACAGGAGGCTGGTGTCTGGTCAGGCTGAGGGATCTGTGTGCCAGCCCTTCTGGGAAGGCTGAATGGGGCGGAACTGGTCAGGGCCTGGCACAAACTCCAGGAAGTGCTACTCCCAGAGAGAGAGAGAGATGGAGAGCCACCTCCCTGGGGGCCTCCTCCCCATCCCCTTCTGCATGCCACCGCACCCCAACAGTGTCCCTTGAGGCTGGGCCATGGGTGGATCTGAGTCAGGGCAGGGCAGAGTGGGAGTGGCAGTGCCTCTGCCTGTCTCCCTGGCCGTGGCAGGTCCTGTGTCACATAGAGACCAGGAGAGGTGAGTGTGACTGTGGTACTAGTGGGGGCAGTGGCTGAGGACCCCTCTCTTTGCTGGGCTGGGGCAGAGCTTGAATGGAGAGGGGCTGCCTTGTGCCTGGGAGGGGAGGGCCAGGTGTCGCTGGCACCTTCCGGGTCCTGAGTGCTTGCTCTGTGCCCAGCCCCTGCTGAAGCTGCAGACGTTAAATACCAGGATATGTTTTGAGACTCAGGACACCTTTGAGGACTTGCTGCTGTTATCTGCCTTTAAAAGACGAGGACTCCGAGGCTCTGAGAGGTTAAGTACCTGGTCCGGGTCACCTGGTCAGTTTCTGAGCTCCAGACGGCTCATTCCAAATTTCATGGGTGCATAGGGATTAAAAGTAGTTCTGGCTGAATTTTAGATCCTGGTTCCACTATTTTCAAGCTGTCTGGTCTTAGGACCGTTGATGTAGTCACTCTGTGCCTCAGTTTCCCCATCTGTAAATGAGAATGAAAGAGTACTCCCCCATCAATTGGTTGAAAACTAGAGTGAGATTATGCACAGCAGCTGCAGCACAGCCCCAGGGATGATCTAAAAGTGAATTCAGGACAGGACGTGGTGGCTCAGGCCTGTAGTTTCAGCACTTTGGGAGGCTGAGGTGGGAGGATCCCTTGAGCCCAGGAGTTTGAGGCCACCCTGAACAACATAGTGAGACCTCGTCTCAACAAAAAAAGTGAATCCAGTGGTGTCACTCTTTGTTATTAATGCCCTCCGGTGACATTCATGACACCCAAACGTAGAATCTTAGCTGTTAGGGTGGCCTGTGACATCTATACCATGTGTCCCTGTGGCCTCCCTGGCACTCCCTCTCCTTCCTGGCTGTCTGCCATTGCATGGGACTCCCTGCCTTGCACCCAACAAGCTCAGGGTGGTCTTGGGCACTTCTCAGTCTGGAACCTTCTGTTGCCTACCCCATCTTCCCATGGCTGCCTTTCATGTAGGCCTCCGGTTTATAGCCAGCTCCTCGGAGACATGGTTCTAACCCCTAGTGGCTAAGGGCTGGCCCTTACTCTCTGCCCCCATGCCCTGTGTTAGTGGTCCTGTGGTTGTCATTGTCCCGTCATCTCCACTATATCCTGTTTGCTGTCTGTCTGTGTCCCCCGAGGATGAATGCCATGAGTGCAGGCGTGTCACCCTGTTTCTCTCCTGCCATGGTGCTCGAGTCAGTGCCCTCCCTGCTTTCATTCGGCCGGCAGGCCCTGTGGCTTCTGTTTCTGCTGACCTGTCCAGCCTCATGGTCTGGAGAGGCCTTGGGGTCCCCAGCCTGCGCTGGGACAGGGGTATTATTCCACTAGCCCTTCTGTGGAGCAAGTAGGGAAGGAGTGATGTGACCTCTGTGGCTCTCCTGGGACCACACGGGTTAGTCCTGTGGGTGACCTCACTTTAGAGAGGGCTGGCCAGCTGTCCCGGACTTAGGAAGTAGGTACAGCTGGACAAAAAGTGGCTGGAGTCAACTCTGCAGAAGCCACATCTGCTCATGAGAAGGATATCCTTGTGAGTACAGGGGAAATGACATGGAGAAAGACAAACACTGATGGGTGGCTCTGCCAGCTTCCCCTGGGGTGCTTCTGGCGACTCCCAGGTCTGTGCACACCCAGATCTTTGCACTGTGCTGTTTTAACTTGGAGAAGAGAGGAGGAAGTTAGCTGCTCTGAATGGTGTTGCTGCTAATCTCTACGACACTTTCCTGTAGATTAGGAAAGGGAATGCACCTTACCCCCGCGCAAACCCTGCGCCCCGTTGGAGAAGCCCTGCGCCAGAGCATACAGTTTGGCAAGCAGGGGGAGGGCTGGAGCCCAGCCTCACTTGCCACCCTGGCCAGGCTGTGATTGCCCAGGGTGCGTACTGTGGCTGGTGCTCTGCCACTGCTGTTTCTGTCTTCAGGGTAGGACACAGGTAGGCAAGTAGGGCCTGTCAGTGAGAGGCGCAGGAGATGCGTGTTCTAGGGTCTGAGATCGGCTGCTTCCATTTCAGTGATTGTCTTCGGAGCTACGTCATTTGCTCATACAACCTCCCTTCAAGATAGTGCCTTTTTTAAAATCCCATTTACCCAGAAGAAAACCTGAGACGTGGAAAGGTCGTTCGCACTCACTCACAGCAGTGATGGTTGGTCCAGAATTCACCTCCAAGTGTGAGATTTCAGTATTTTTTTTTTCTTCCTCTCTTTTTTAAATCAAATTTTATTTGAAAGGATATCACAGTCACCGGTTTGAAAAAGGTAAGCAGGCCAGGTGTGATGGCTCATATCTTTAATCTCCGCATTTTGGGAGGCAGAGGCAGTCGTGTCAGTTGAGCCCAAGAGTTTGAGACCAGCCCGTTCTACGTGGTGAGACCCCAGCTCTCCAAAATTTCCAAAACCAGCTGGTCGTGGTGGTATGTGCGTGTGGTCCCAGCCACTGGCGAGGCTGAGGTGGAAGGGTTACTTCAGCCTGGTGGGTGGCTGCAGTGAGCTGAGATTGGGCCTCTGCTGTTCAGTCTGGGCTACAGAGCAAGACTCCATCTCCAAAAAAAAAAAAAAAAAAAATTATAAAGGTAAACAGTACAGATGGGAATATGAGCATAAGTCACTGTCATTCCAGACCTCTGGTCCCCAGGACTTTTCTCTTGAGAGGCCATCGCCTTTGTTTTGCATCCTTCTGAGTAAACCTATTCGTGTACGGACATATCTGGATATGCATGTAACTGTTTTGTGAAAGTGCATTTGGAGATATGGATATCATTGTTTTGCACCCATCTTACGTTTTGATACTATGGATACTATGTTTTGGAGATTAGATGATACCAGCACTTTGCATAGGTTTGCACCCTCTTTTTCACAGCTGCGTAGTGTTTCCTTGTCTGTGAGTAGATTTCAAGTTCTTTCCATCTTAAGCTCTTAGAAAAAGTGCTGTTGAAGATCTTGATAGACAAGTCTCTGTGCAAACATAGGAAACTTTTTAGAATGAAGTTCTGGCCATGGGCCAAATTCCCTCCACGAGGTGGCCCTAGTTTTTACTTCCTTGTACATCCGTGAGAGCTCAGGCCCCTTGTGTTTTGCTGTTATGATGAGTGAAATACGATGTCTGCGTCACGTTGGAATTTGTAGATGTAGATGACCATAGTTTCTTATTTGCCATTCATTTCTTTACATTAAGGTAAATATTCATGTTCTTTGCCTATTTTATTTTACTTTATTTTTTTTGAGACAGTCTCGCTGTGTCTCCCAGGCTGGAATGAAGTGGCTCACTCCCGGTTCACTGCACCCTCCACCTCCTGGGTTCAAGCAATTCTCCAGCCTCAGCCTCCTAAGTAGCAGGGATTACAGGCACCCACCACCACGTGGGCCTGGCTAATTTTTGTATTTTTAGTAGAGGCGGAGGTTTCAACATGTTGGCCAGGCTGATCTCGAACTCCTTATCTCAAATGATCCACCCACCTTGGCCTTCCAGAGTGCTGGGATAACAGGCGTGAGCCACTGCGCCCAGCCCTTTGCCTATTTTTAAATTAGGTTTCTTGTTTTGTTTTTCTTTCTAATTTACGTGAACATGTTATAGGCTCAGGGAATTTACTGATATGTATAGGTTGCAAACGTATTTTAGTTTTTCAGTTGTCTTTTTTTGTTGTTGTTGTTTGAGAAGGAGTTTTGCTCTTGTTGCCCAGGCTGGAGTGCAGTGACACGATCTTGGCTCACTGCAACCTCCACCTCCTGGGTTCAGGCAATTCTCCAGCCTCAGCCTCTTGAGTAGCTGGGATTACAGGTGCGCACCACCACGCCTGGCTAATTTTTGTATTTTTAGTAGAGACGGGGTTTCACCATGTTGGCCAGATTGGTCGCTAACTCCTGACAGGTGATCCACCCGCCTTGGCCTCCCACAGTGCTGGGATTACAGGCATGAGCCACTGTGCCGGGCCTCAGTTGTCTTTTAAGTGTTTCATTTGTCTTCTCTCTACTCCTCCCTCTCTCTTGTGCACTTGCTGTCTCACTTAAATTTTATGTAGATGAATATATTCATCTTTCTTTGTTTAGCTTCTCAATTTATATTTCTTCACTATCTCTATTATGAAAATATTTCATCTATATAAATATTAATGTAACAGACTTGCGTGTGATAATCTGCCAGGTTGAACAAATGGGAATATTATCTCTCATATGATGTTAGATTTTTCTCCTTTAAAAAATAAAGTATTACAAGTATAGAACCAAAGACATGCCCCGTGACCTCTTCTATTCTTCCCAATCTCCCCAGAATATAATTATCACTTAAAGTTGGGTGTGTACCTATATTTTATTCTTTCATCATACACACAAGCACACACTGTTTATACACATAAATAGTGTTGTTTTGGACTCATACTTTGTTTTTACAACACCTTTTAATGTAAGTTTTTACTTTTATTGTTTTATTTAAGATAGGATCTTGCTCTGTCACCCAGACTGGAGTACAGTGGCGTGATCGTAGCTCACTGCCACCTCCCATCTCCTGGGCTCAAGTGATCCTCCCACCTCAGTCTCCTGAGGAACTGGGATGGTGACAGTCATAAGCCACCAAGCCCAGCTAAGTTGTTTATTTTGTTTTTTATTTTTTAAATAAAGATGAAATCTTGCTATGTTATCAAGGCTGGTCTCAAACTCTTGGGCTCAAGCAATCCTCCTGCCTTGGCCTCCCAAAGTACTGGGATTACAGGCATGACTTTAAAAAGTTAATATTATGTCTTCAGGTTTATCCCAGTTGACCCATATGGATTGATTTCTTCAGTTTACATGGCTATATAGTATTCAGTTTCATGAATGTAGCACAGTGTATCTAGCCATGGCTATACTGATGATAGTTGTTTCCAGTTTTTTTTGCTATTGCAGCACTGCCTAATAAATATCCTGGAGTGGGTTGTACTTCTATACTTCAAAATGAAATTACCAGATTGTAAAATATGCACATCTTCAGCCTCACTCAGTATTGTGAAGTGCTCCTCTAAGCCTTTGTGTCAATTTGTACTTCTAC